TCTTATATCCTTATCCCACAAAAATAACCTGTATTAACTTTGAAGCTTTTGTTTTTGCTGTATCTCTAGCAAAAGTCAATTCTACAAGTTTTAAAATTGCTTGGTTCGTATGCATCATCAATGCACTTACATTCATTAAATTTGAGGTAGAACTGATGGTTTTCTTGGCCTTTCCCTTTGCTTTTTCTTTCTATGTAAGAATGATCATTCTAACCTGCAGCCAACAAAAATAATTAAAAACAACTGAAGTTGTGGACTTCATCTGGGCTAGGCACATGAACTTTCAGTCTAAGAATTCTATATTATCTCTCCTCTACCAGAAAATTGAGACTCAGTGGGGTTAAGAAATTTATCTTAGAAAGTAGAAGACAGATGGTGGAGTGGATCTAGGCAGCAACTTACTCCTTTACAGTCAAAGGACAACTGACTAGAGAGGTGGGTGACAAAATACTGGCCAGCCTGAGACTTGGAGGGACTTATCTTAGAAAGTAGAATAGAGATTACCGGGGGTTGAGAGGAGGGAGGAAAAGGGAATTATTACTCAAAGAGAAGTTCCTGTTTGAAATGATGAAAACATTTTGGAAATAGATACTGGCAATGATTGCACAACACTGTCAATATAATAAATGCGGAATTGTATACTTTAAAGTGGTCAAAATAGTTGATTTCATGTAATATATGTTTCCAATTTAAAAAATTAAGTGAAATTTGTATTAGACCATCCGACAAGTTATGGTACAGGCTCACTGACTTTGAAACCCATTCTTAACATGGAAGTTGTTTGCATGTTGACACTCCTTTGTAACCCAATGAAATTATGTAAATTTCAGGTATCTAGCAGAGAGAGGTCCAGGTTTTCACAAATTATGTTCACTTAAAAGATCCATATTCTTTTATTCTTAACTGGTTCTGCTTTAGGTGTTCCTCAAAATTTAAATCCATAACTGATTTTGGTACATCCACAATGTAATTTCCTAGTCTAAAATTTTGATCAAGTTGAAATTCAGAGTACTAGAAAGAATCAGACCTCAAAAATGTATACCGGTTGCTACTTCAGGTTTTATCAAAACTTTGATGCTTTGTGGATACAGAGTTTGAAATATCCTGTGCTTTGACAGTATTGTTAGACTAAACCATCTTATGCCCCTTATTCTGTATTTGTCCAAGATCTACATTGGCAGAGCTAGATCAGATTTTAATGTGACAGGATAAGGTCCAGTAATAGAGACATTTTTTAAGCTTGGTGATCTCAGAGGCTGGACTAAACAAAGCTTTAGGAACAACACACATAGGAATACTATAAGGCTGCCACATAGGTCTAAAGTTTGTTTTCTTAAAACCTGTTGCATGCCTGTAAGCCCAGAAGCTCAGGAGGCTGAGTAAGGAGGATCGCGAGTTTAAAGCCAGCCTCAGCAAAAGCAAGGTCCTAAGCAACTCAGTGAGACCCTGTCTCTAAATACAAAATACGGCTTGGGGATGTGGCTCAGTGGCCAAGTGTCTGAGTTCAATTCCTGGTATCAAACAAACAAACAAATTACCCTTCCAGAAAGCTCTCTTCATCTTTCTATAATATCAAGGGATGTGAAAACTGGCTGAGCCAAAAGAAATAATCTTGGAATGTGAGATACTAAGGACTGCCAGTTATTATAAAACCTGAAGTTGCTCTTCTTTATACAGGAAGATTGACTGTTACCAGTGGGTAAAAATGAAAGGTAAACAAAGACTTTTCACTTAAAGAACATCTTTATTTGATCTTTAATATACAATATTACCTTTGATTTGTAAAAATCACATTATGGAGGACATGATTGGAAACCAATTCAGGGGCAGCCAGTGGGTTCCAATTTAGGAGGTTATACTTACCCCACTTATTAGTTTAAGGAACAAGTTTATCAGTGAATTTGACAACAGAAAGATTAAAGAATAGCATTTCAATTTTCAAAACCAGTAATTAAAATTTGGGGCATTTCAATTAATCCAGCAAAAACTAATCCCTAAATTTTCTAAAAAAATAATTTTTCCCAAAGAGCTAAGCTTATCTTCATGAAAATTTCTGGTATGCAATTTGCAACAGAATTCTGTAGCATTCAAATAGCTGCAAGATATTTGAAATTGTTTAAAAGCCTGTGCATATTAATATGAATGTATGTGGGTGTATGTGTTTTAGTATCAAATTTACATTCACGCTGAGCTGAAGCAACCTTATAGTAGGATGGACCTGAAAGGGCAGCATATTTATAATGCAGAAGAGAGACATCTCTGTGCTCTTTCAGTCTGAATCATCTTTCCCTCCCCTAGAATTAAAAAAAAAAAAAAGTGAAATATTTAATAAACTTTCAGTGAAAAAATCTATTATCTGTCAGGATGATTGGTATATTGAACGTATGTGGCTAGTTAATATAATGTTATGTAATTTTGTGAGCAATTTTATGAGTTCTTCAATTGCTGGGCTCAAACCAAGTTTGAAATAGATTAGCTGTTAAGTAGTGGAAGTATAAAGTTGAAGCTGGGGAATGCTTTAATTGAAAAATGATGCATACTGATATTCTGAAATAGTGTTAGTGACTTGGAAAGGTACTGTTACAAGGATGGAAGAAAGCACTTCTTTTAGATACATTTTTCTCCATACTCCTCAAACTCAGGCTGTTCTCGAGGTAACAGGAGTAATACCCTTAAATGAGGCACATAACCCATTTTCTGTTGCCTAAAAATTTTCAAAAGATTAGTTTCTGCAGCACCAAGATTAGGAATTCTATCATATTTTTGTTCTGAGTACTCAAGTGGATACATTTCTGCAGCTCCAGCAATCCAGAGTCCTGGTCCAAGGGTCAACGAATAGGCGGAACTTCAAAGAAAAGAGTATTTTTATGCCACACATACCTTTTCTACATAGGGAACCTGGACATATGGCATTAAAATAACAAGTGAAGATAATGGTTGATAGCATACTCCCCACCCCATTCCGCCTCTTGAGTATAGTCATATTATCTTGAAACCTGAACAGACTCCAGAAGAGTAAAGACAATGAAAGATACAGCTTTTAACAAAACACAGACAAGTGAATATACACACATCTTTTTGCTTTAAAAATGAATAATATATAGGTCAAAACACATAGAAAAGATACAGACCAAAGGTTAGATGGTCTTACACAAATTAGGCTTGGGATCAGGGCCAGCAACTATGACCCACAGGCCAAATCCAGCCCTCCATCTGTTTCTGTAAGTAATGCTTTATTAGAACACAGCTACCACCATTCATTTACATATTATCTATAGCTGCTTTCACACTTCAACTGCAGCATTAAGTAATAAAAGAGACTTTATGGATTACATAGCCTCGAGTATTTATTATGTGGCCCTTTACAGAAAAGCTTCTCAACTACATATGAATCAAAAAAGAACATCTCCATCATGATCTGAATGAGCTGAAGTAGCAGAAAATCATCTTCATCACAATTCTTGAAACAGATAAGTGGATGAAAATATTTCCGTATCATCTGTGGTTACTTAAAGATTCTGCTGATAATCTGTGAGGCCAAAACAAGTTACAACTGTATGTGTAACTGACAGTATTAAAAATCTTTATAACTGTATTTATGGATATGTGTACATATTTATGTAAAGACTGCCTAAGAAGCTAGCCAATTTCAGAGTAAAGGAACCTAAAGAAAAGTAAGAACTCCAAATAGTATTACTAGGAACCATTACTTGGAACTTAAGAAATATCTTAGTATATTTTTCTTTATATTTAAGAACATGGGTACTACCACTAGTAGGAAGCATACCAGAGCAAAGACAATTTACACCTACAAGTTTTACCCATGAATGAAGTGACAAAACCTTTGAATATAAAATAACCAGCACTTCTATAAAATATTGATTTTAATTATGTAATTATAGTGATATAGCAAAATAAGAATGTTTTTATTTATTTCTAAAGTAAATATTTTAGTCAAAATTGCATCAGAAATCAAATATTTCTTTGATATTTTCCAAGACTTTAGTTATTAGCTACAATTATAGTTGTTAGTATTATATAGTAACACATTGTTTAAAATATATTATAAACCTTTCTTTTCCTCTTTAATTTAAATGAAATATAAAATTAAGGATTTTGTAACATGATTCATATTGGAAAACACTTAAAATGGTATTATCTACTCTCATACAGAAAATGCCACTAGAATCACACAAAATGTTATAATGCTTGGAAGTGCCAGACACAATGCTGGCACATATTCAGTACTCTGTCCCAAGTTTCCACTCATTCTCTCATTTACTCATGCATTCATTCAAATAAACTCAGGCTTAAGGATAAACTGCATTATAATGAGAATGGCAAGCGTAATCTTTTATGAACAAATTTTGAGTTTTGATAAAATACTTTGGCAATGGAGAATGGAGAAGGTGAGAGGTTGATAAGATTTCACATAGTGACACATCTGCTCAAAGACAGGAATGAGTTGGCATTAGACATAACATGTGCAACCCACCAGAAAGTAACAACCCCCTGACTGGGGACTTATTTTTCTGCACTGAGACTCTTTTTGGTTAGGGCCCATTCCCTTGGTTTTAACAACTTCAACTGGTTGAATAGAAAACAATAAAACAAAACAAAAAATCTGGTTTGAACCAAAAAGTGTGATTCTAAGATAAAGAGAGATAAATGTAGAAGGTGTCCAATATCTCTGTTTCTTTTCTTTTTTTATGTACCAACCCATCTAGCTGTTCTGCACAACTGTGCCACAGGCACAAAGTGAGGGGTCAGCTCTTTGAGGAGGCACCTGAAAAGGAACATTTCTGGGATCTTTGCAGGAGGTCTTATAAATGTAATGAGTTCTGAACCTGAGTAATAAAATCTACAAAATGCAAAGGGCAATAAGGACAGAAGAGAGTAAAGAATACTCTTGGAAACTAAGCAAAATATGGGGTAAAGATTGATCTCAGTGGAAGTTATTTACAAAATCTTTAACAAAAACAAAACATGACACTGGCAAGTCATTTGTATCTGACTTTAATTGCCTTTGGTATTCAGAGAAGAAAAAGCACTGTTGTAAGCTCTAGACTTATCATCACAAAGAAGGTAGGGAGTGGAGAAGAAGACCCTTCCATGGTCCCTCTCAAATTCTTTGTAACGGAACTGGCTCTGCTTATACACTTCCTTGCCTTCTCTTAAACTCCAGTCATCCAAGTAATATAGGGCACTTGGGTTAGGGGTTCTGTCTTCTCTGGTGAGGAGTACCTAGGGAGTCAGCATGGTCCCTTTACTCTGCACTCTTCTAGAAAGAAGGGGGAGGGGCAGGGGAGATTGCTGCTATCTGCACACATATGCGGGGTCTTTGCCAACTCAAGATTTTTACTTTTTTTCAGTGACTCATAAGTGGGCTTGTGCTAATTTTAGGAGGAAGGCTAATTTTTTCTGAGAATCAAATACTCCCTTTCTCTTCTAAAATTACGTCATCTACCCTTTGCAAGAACTTTTAAGTTTTCAAATAGTAAAAGATAATAAATTTAACCCTCTTAGAAACTTAATATAACTGGCTCTACATCCTTATTTTCTATGTACACTAAACAATTTTGGAATGGCTATCATTTATGAATCATTGGCTGAACTATGAGGATTGTCTGATGATTGTGGTATAAAATGATCACCCTTAGAAAATGTTTAATTAATTTATTAAATTTTTTCCCAATTTAAATATACTACATGCTAATTAGAGGGTTAAAAAGTCAAGCTACTAAATAAGGAATAAGCTTTCAGAATTCCAAGGTGGACTTCCTGTACAAACTTGTTTCATAAAATATTCAAATTCAGAGTAAATACTAATAATATTGTTTCCAACTTTTATTAATGTCAGTGGAAAATATATAAAATCAAGAGGAAAAAAGTGTCTTGCACTGTCACAGAAATTCAAGGGACAGAAAATTTATAAGTATTAGTATTTACCTTATACTATATAATTCTTGATAAAATTTGTTTCTTCTGCCAATATATAAAGAAATAGTTTTTTTTAAATCAATGCAAAATCTACTAATAGTAAAAGAAAGACCTTTAGATATATCCCAATTTCAGTGTAATATGACTAATTACACTCTTTTCACCAAAAATTATTTTGAAGTTATTCTGATTAACTCTTTGGAGTCTATAAATATTCTTGGAAAAACTAAAAAAACAAAAATATTTGTGAACAGCTCACTCATTTGATGAAATAATAAATAAAGGGTCCCCTGTCCCCATTCCTGATAGAACATTTAAGGAGTTTCACTGTGTTTTGTTTTTGTTTTTCTAAATTGTAAAAGTAACATAGCAAATTCAGAGCTGCATAATATTAGAGTGAATTTTGTCAAGCCACGTAAAGTTGTAAGCTGACTGACTCTGAGATTAAAGTGAATAAAATTTAGTTGGTAGATGTGTTGGTTTAGAAGAATAATTTCTTACCAACAAAACCAAAAATTTCTCTAAGAACAGGTGTCAAGGCAACACACTGGCACTTCCATCTCTTTTTGTCATGCTACCAACACTAGACTGAACTACATGCACAAAATCCCAAACCCAGGCTCATAAGTAGTGGTTATGATAAATAGCAATTTCAGTGATACCAGATAGAGAAAAAGACTTGAAGAGTATTCTTTGTGAGATCATGCCCCAGGAAAAATTAAATTTAACCAAGAAATTTCAATGAAAACATTGGGATTGAAATGGTTGCCAGTCTGTTCATCCAATGGGGAACTTCAAAATTCAGACAGGGATAGGTACTTCTGTTTCTTTTTTGAGTCTTCTTGCTACTGATGCAGTTACACTGTTCTTTTGTTTTTGTTTATCTTAGTTTATTCCATTATTAAAATGGAGAAAAAGGGATAATCAATGTGTAAATATCTGATTTGAAAGCTGCTCCACTGTGAGAGGAAACAAATTATATAATTGGTTCCAAAAGCCATCTCTAATTCCTGCAAGGTGCTCTATGTCCTTGGCTTGCTCTTGTAATATAGCAGTAATGGGCATTGCTTCTTGTGTGACCATCTCATTAAGAATCAAAGCACATCAGGTCTCTGTCCTACATGTACCAGAACATGTTTTGGTCAGGTATAAAATGGAATAATTTCAAAGTTGATATATCTACAAGTTGAAAAGTCTTGTGGGGAAGTTTCACCCTGTCATGTTGACTTAGAGGTCCAGATTTTCAAAAGCCGCCTCTCCAAGCTAGTTTCTGTAGTGGTCCATGTAAACAAAACACAGGTAAGACTGTTCCTTCTGGAGCTGCTTTCATCGAACAGCAGGATTACCTGAAAGTGTGATGTTGGCTAAATGTAACACAGGCAGAGGGTGAGCTTCTGTGTTAAACACCCAGTGGTCTAAAGGTAAAAGGTCATCACCAGAAAAGAGCAGATACAAATATCTGAAAATAAAAGGGGGAGAAATGAGCTTCAATTAGAATTCAGCCAGAAGACCAAGTGAACTCAGTCACAACAGCAGAAAGAACCAATAACTTATTTTGAGAATCTTTGATGAAAAACACATTATAGAAATAAACCTCAGTTACACAGATGATCTAAAACACAAAAAGAATGTGCTTCAAATTAGAGCATAAGAAAATCCAGTAAGATGTACAACTAGATCTGCTGAAATAATGGGTTTTAAGGAAAATTCCACATATCTGTCTGTAGCACATAAAACAAATTCATAATTTTTCAAAGACATTCTTTTAAAAATCACACATAATACCAATCATGTTTTGACAGCTTACAGAGCTCACGGAGACAGAAATTAGTTCACACTTAGTAATGAACACTGAGAGAAATAATTATAGTGTTTGGATACAGAAAGGACTTATACTACTCCTAATATGTTAATGTTGTAGTTTTCACAGTTCTTGGTACTGCAAGCTGTTAAGTTTCATACACATTTTGGATTTGCAGGAGGTTTAATAATTGCCCTTAATGGATGAGAGCACTATGCACATGAAGACAAGGGTCTTGACTTCTCCATGGAACTGCAAGCCACAGTAGTCACTTAAAAATTAAAAATGAGTCAACAAAAACAATGATCCTTATCTATAATAACAGAAAAAATCCTCTATGAATCCTAATTTGGGGGGTAGATCATGTCATCAAAGTGTCAGGCTGGGGGTGTGGTTCAGTGGCAGAGCACTTATTTAACATGTGTAAGGCCTCGGTTGAATCCCAGCACCTGATAAAAACCAAACCATACCAAACCAAACCAAAACCCAAACCAAAAACACTATAAAGTCAGAAAATCTGAATTCTAACTCTTGATCTTAGCAGTAACTAGCTAGGCCTTACAAAGTTTCAGTAAAGAATTTCTTTATTTTTAAAATAGGCATATCAGTATCTTCTTGGATTATGGTTACAGTTCTGGATAAGAGTAAAAACACAACACTGAGGTAAACAAGAACAGCGCATAAACTTTATAACTGATAAAGCTGGAATGAAGAGTTAACTGTGCTTCCTATCTCCCTCTTCAACCCTGGATCACTAGACCTGCTTGAGAGATTTGCTGACCAGGTTGGAGGTAGAGAAGTTGGAACTAAGAGATTTGGTTGGACACAGCAAAAGACTCTACATGTTCTGCTTACTCTACAGAGACCAGAGGGCCAAGCTTTTAGTGTTCTTGGTGTGGCACCCATTCCTTTTGATCAGATTGGTGCTAAAAAATGTCAGGTGCTTTTTTTAAATGTTTTTTTTTTATTGGTGCATTATAATTATGCATAACAATGGGATGGGTTATGACATATTCATATATGCACATAATTTGATCACTCTTCTTCCCATGTCCTCCCTCCCTTTCTATATCCTTCATCTACTCTTGGGTCTCCTTTCCATTTTTGAGACAACTTTTTTATTTTATTTTTTTCTTCTTTCCTTTCTCTCTAGTTTCCACATGAAAGAGAAAACATTTGACTCTTGACTTTCTGAGACTGGCATGATGATGTTTTCCAGTTCCATTCATTTACCAGCAAATGACAATTTCATTCTTCTTTAGGGCTGAGTTTGCACTGTGTACACATACCACATTTGTTTTACCCATTCATCTGTTGATAGACATGTAGGCTGGTTCTACATCTTGGCTATTTTGTACTGCGTTTCTGTACATATTGATATTTATTTATCACTACAGTATGCTGATTTGGAATGGGATAGCTGGGTTGCATGGCTTCTCTTAATCTTATTGTAAAATCCAACAAGCAATGCTCTTAAAACCCAATTTTCAATTGGACTGCTTGTTATATTACAGGTGAAATTTGAGATTTTCCATGTATTCTTAATGCAAGTCTTTTATCAGATATAAGATTTGCAAAGATTTCCTCAGTGTGTGGCTTGTGTTTTCATTCTCTTAGTAATATCTTTCAAAGAGTAGACAATTTTAATTTTAAATCTAACCACTAATTTTTTTTTTTTATGGACTTCCTCCTATGTTTTCTTCTAAGTTGTACATATTTAGGCTTTAAATTTAGGACTGTGACCCACTGTGAGTTGATTTTTATATATATAAATACAGAAATCCAGTTGTTCCTGCACCTTTTGTAGCCAAGTCTTTCCTTTTTCATTGCATTACCTTTGTGCTTTGGTCAAACATCAGATGACCATAGGTATGGTATTCCTGAACCCACAATCGTGAACTCAATATTCTGTTCCCCTGATGTGTCACACTATTTTGATTATCACAGCTGAATAATAAGTCTTGAAATTAGGTAGCATTAGGCTTTTAACTTTGTTCTTTTTATAATTTGTTTTGGTTATCCTAGGTCCTCTGCATTTCCAGAAGAAGTTTAAAAACAGCTTGTCAATTTCTATTAAAAAAAAAAAGACTGTTGGAATTTTGAATAGAATTGCAGAATCTAAAATTAATTTGAGGAGAATTAACAACATCAACCCTTCAGAACCATGAATATTCTTTTAGGTCTTCTTTATATCTCTCAGCAATAATTTCCAGTATGTACCGTCTCACACATGTTTTATTAAGATTTACTCCTAGGGTAATGAAGTCCACCTCATTCCACCATCTTTCCTACCCCCATGTCCCAAATATCCCATTATCTTTATGCTATTATAAATGATATTCCTTCTTAGTTTCAATTTCTGATTGTTCATTGTTGGTATACACAATTCATTTGAATACACTGATCTCCTATCTGCAACCTTGCTAAATTCACTTAATCTAGTAATTTTGGGGATAAATTTCATAGGATTGTCTGCATGGATTACCATATTCCCAATGAAAAAAAAGATAGTTTCACTTTTTCCTTTCTAGTCTGGATGTCTTTCTTTTTCAGATTGGTCCACACTGCACTGGCTACAACCTCCTATACAATACTAGGCAGAAGTGAAGAGATATCCTTGTATTGTTCCTGATCTTAGGGAGAATGGAACACATTCAGTTTTTCAGAATGATGCTAGCTGTAGGTTTTCATATATGTCCTTTATCAGACTGACAAGGTTTCCTTCTATTCCCTATTAGCTCAGAAAGTTTATCAGAAGTAGATATTGAATTTTGTTAAAGGATTTTTCTGCATCTATTGAAGGGGGTCATATGGTTTTTCTTTTTTAGCTCATTCCTTGATTTTCAAATGTTAACCCTCCATAGCTAGGATAAACTTACTCTGTCATGATGTATTCTCTATTTAACATGCTGTTAAATCTGACTTGTCAAAATCTTGTTTACATCTTTTGTATCTATATTCATAAGAAATACTGATTTTTGCTTCCAATGAGAACTCTACCATCATTAAAAAATATTTCTCCTCTATTATTTTATTTTTATCAACTTTGTTTCTTGTGTTAAGATTTGATGCATTTTTTTTAAATGATGAAGTATAAAGGCTGGGCTACATTCTCTGTGAGGGGAAATCATTCTCCAAAGGTAAAAGTAGCCGAGTTACTTGAAAACAGTTTGATCCTTTCAGGTCTTACTTTTTCCTTATTTGTTATATAAATCTAATATATCCCAATTTCTTTTTAATTACTGAATATATACTTGGAAAAGTGATTTAAATGATGATTTTCTAAGAATAATGTGAAAAGTACAAATAATTTATATTTTCTCTAGTACTCATTGCTATTTGCTGCCAAGGATTTTTCAAACTCAGGTAGTTCTAGTTCATGTGGGCACCTTCTGGTTTTTTATTGTGTATTTCATTGGGTAATCAGATAAGCTTCCTTGTTGCTTTTGTTGTTGTTATTGTCATTATATGATACATTTTTGTTTCTTCAGCACTCTCAATCAATCCTAGGTGACAAATAGTTTTGTTTTTACCAAATTCGTAAGCTGCCACAATATAAAGATCTTCTGTAAAACTACTCCAAGCCCTTCAATTTCTTTTACTAGAGGAGATTTACAAAATTTCACAATTATTACCCTGCTGTCATTCTTATATATGCTCCTTTTCATCTAACTTGTTCCCGCCCCCCTCTGGTTGCTTTTAAGATTTTTCTTTATCACTCATTTTGAATAATTGATATAATGAACCTTGGTGGGGTTTTCTGCATGTTTCTTATGCTTGGGGTTTGTTAAGCTTCTTGGATCTGAAGGTATGTAGATTATCTGAAGGTATGTAGATTATTATTATATTATGAGTTTTGAAAAAGTTTGGCCATTATTTCTTCAAATATTTTTGGTCTATCATCTTTGTCCTTCCCTTTGAAAACTCCAGTATCATATATTTTAAACCACTTCAAGATGTCACATAGCTTACTAACATTCTTTTCATTTTTATAAGTTTCTTTTGTTTTTCTCTTGTTTCCTTTTAGGCAGTTTCTACTCGCATATTTTTTAAGTTCACTAATTTTTACTTCTGAAATGTCTAATGTGCTATTAATCATATCCAATGTATTTTCAACTCAGACATTGTAGTTTTTGATTCAAGAAGTTTGATTTTTTTTTATGTCTTCTATGTCTTAACTTTCTGAATATATGAAACGTAATTATAACCATTATAATATCAATGCCAATTTCAACATCTGTATCAGTTCTAAGTTTCTATTGTGTCTTCTCATTATTGGCCATATCTTCCAGCCTCTGCATAAATGGAAAACTTTCTGGCTGAATGATACACATTGTTGATTTTCCTTTGTTAGGTGCTAGATATTTTATATTCCTATAAATTTTTTTATGTTTTGTTATGGGATGTTATTGGGTTATTTGGAAAACAGTTTGATACTTTTAGGTGTTGCTTTCATTATTGTGTAGATCCAAAGCACCATTACTTCCCACTACTGAGGTAGAACCATCCCACTTTAGTAATACTTGAATTGATTTTCCCTTTTCTGTTTTCAGATAATTCTTCCCTCACCTCAGGGAGGTTCCTTAGTGTTGAGGGGCACTCTGCTGAATATTCAAGGGTGTTCCCTTGAGTTCTTTAAGCCACTTTCACCCCTCTGG